CTGGCCTACCATAGAAAACCGCATCTCCTCTTAAAACTTTACAGCAACAGAAAATGAAAAAGTAAAAAAAAGAAGAAGAAGAAATTAGATAATGTCCTACAGGAAATAAAATCGCTTTTTTTGCTTCTCCTGAAAACCTGACCATTTCGACATACGACAACGATGAACGACGGCGACAATATACGATTATATCACAGAGCTTCCTGCTGTACAGGCTAGGACAAAAATTATATAAAGATTTACAGCTATGGCTATTACAACTATTATAAGTGTCAAAATCCTGTTTAAACCCTATTCGTACGCCCTGGGGTCATTTTGTACCTCTGTGGTTGTATTCTTCACATTTTAGAATACTTCTAGTAAGAAGATCTCTTTGAAACTTTCAGTATTTCTCAAAAATATCATTTTGATAGACTGCTATACAAAGCGTACGGAACAGATTAACGAGTAAATATCCTCTATGGAGAATGGTGGCACAGAGTTCGCCACGTTGTATGGATACGACAGTAAAACACGACGTACAGATAGGGTTAAACACAGGCAAATCATTTAATCCTTTGAGCGCCCAATCCCTTGAGCCTCACAGGTTCCGTCGCGCACCTCAGTGCCTAAGTTCTCTCGGGTCAATTGTCAGATTTACACCGCCACCACCCCCAGGCTTGAGTCGAGGCTTCGGAGAACAGATGGGGGAAAGTTTAGAGAGTACGCTAGGCGTGCACTTGGATCAGTGGGGGTCACAGGACAGATCTTTGATCTATACAAAATGGCCGTCTCCAGTGAAATTGAAACACAAAATGATGGTAAAAAAAACAAATGACCTGCCACTTTTGAGGAAAGTTCATAGTTCATTGAACCAAAATAAAATTTCATTTTAAAAACATCCACGCAGAAATATATGGCCAAAAAAAAAAAAAAAAAAGACACAGAAGCAAGAAAAAAAAGAACTATACCGACTTAACAAAAATGGACGCAAATATGCCAGAAGCAAAGCTCCCAAACTAAGACCAAACTGTATTTACATCAACTGGTCAACTACCCATTGCACAACACAGCTCTGAGGCAGTAGTTAGTCAAACATTTCACTCCATTCATCTCCATCACTGGATGTGGAAAAAATACACTATCTACTCCAGCAGATGCAAAACAACACCTGGTGTCTAGATCAGTTACAGTTTTCATAAGAGTTCTACAACAGCACTTGCAACACAACTGGGTTAGTTTAGTCAATTGTAACTGTGAGCTCACTTTCCGTAACGACAAAGCCGTGTAGAGCTAAGTGTAAGCCTGAGTGTAAAGGATTATGCTTCTATCCATCTGCCAAATTCAGTTTTTGTTCTTTGGAAAGCCCTCTCTATGCATTTTAATTGTACAAAGAGCAGAGAACATTGACATAATACAGGTCATTTAGTGCCAGAAAAGAGAATGACAGAAAGACACCAAAAAAAAATTTAAGAATAACCCCCCCCCCTCCTCCTCCCCCCAAAAAAAATGAAAGAGTAAGCAAGTCAGACATGCCTGTAGAAAGAGTGCAGGCGGAGACACCAAACAAGTAAGCTCAACCAGATAAGGACAAAATGAAAGTGACAGAAGGGCCGTAGACGAGAATATTTCAGACAAAAAGGGCAGGCCAAAACCACTGTTGTAACTCAGCCAATGATAAATTTTGGCAACCCTGAGCAAGATGGGATGTGAAACGATAGAACATGAGTGAATGAAAAGTATGTGGATATTTTCTTTCGAGTCTCTGGTTTATAATAAATCAACGCAATTGTCACAATCCACTGGTGGGTAGGTTTGCGGGTGGAAACAGTACAACACCCGTTGAGGTCAAGCACTTTCCTGAATTAAAAAATAAAAAAGAAAGCTATTTCTGATTCCGATTGTCGCAAATGAATATGTCGAAACCTACTTTAAAATTATACAACATCTGCATTAAGAGATTATTTCAGCGAAAAAACAAAAGCAGACTATGATTAAGCTATTATGTAACATCTAAAGTTAAAAGGTGGTAAAGAGCAAATCACAACAACAAAAAGCAGCCATCGACAGTGACTGAAAAGAGTTCAACATGCCCGATAAAAGACAACAAACTAAAACCACGCCACAGACAGGGAGTTGGAAAAAGTTTTGAGTTCAAGAAAAGAAAAAGCACAAGATCACAATAACAATCATTTACTGCACAAATAAAAAAGCAAATGCAGACAGATACATGAGAGATAGAGAGAGAGAGAGAGAGAGAAAAAAAGAAAAAAAAAGAAGGAGCTACCAGCAGCATCCTCAAATAACCTGATCACTGAAAAGAGACCGAATGAGTGAGACAAATCAAGACACATGCTGAAGACACTCAAAAGTACTCTATAAAATATCCGGGCTTCCCAACAATTTTGCTTGAGAAAATCAAACCAGAAACAATCCCCAAAGAAACGAGCAGGTCAACCACGAAGTAAACTCTAGCTCTAAGCCAAGCCATCTCTCGTGATGAGGAAATAAAGCCTTGAGTTGTGAAAGACAAAACCGACAGGAGACCGGCACTGCCCGAAACTTCCGACATGCTGGAAAGCACCGAGCGAGAGGCAGACTCTTGTGTCACAGATATACACCATGCAGCGGCGGCGGCAAAGTATTTCAACTGTCATCCAGAAACGTATTTATTATATCACATTCTATCTACTCTGTGAAGTGCAGCCAGTTTGTGAGTGTTGTTACATGATATTCCGTGCAGAACACGAGAAAAAACTCAAGTGATAGTGGCAGGTTCATATTATAAGAGCTCAATACTGCAGCAGAAACATTCTTCCACCACTGTCATCCCGTGCTTGGCAAAAAGCATCCCTTAAAATCTCAATAAAAAGACGTCACTTGAGGCTACCGGTACACTCCTACTTCTGGCACAACACTTTGAAGCTACAAGTGAACGTGTCAATCGGATTATATAAGCCTGTGTGCCTTCAACAACAGGCAGGTCGAGCATCCATTTTATCACCGTCGGGAAATACTTCCCACCAAACACCACTGTTCATGATATCTAAAAAAAAAAAAAGCATTTATCGTCATCATAAACTTCCGTAATGTACAGCACATACAAAGAAATAGGTTAAGATCACCAATCTACTGCAGTGACAGAAATGTATACGTTGGTAAAACAACACCAGCATCACAATGATGAATGAGAGCCCACCAGTCAGTCGCCTCCTACATTTACATCACACACAACATGAACACACACACACACAAACAGTCAGTGCTACTGTCAGTCTACCATAGGGTGTGTGAGCTTCAAATGGAAGTAAGAAAAACAACAAGAGGACAAGATGAGACCACTGCAGCTTCTCCCATCATCCAAAACGTAGGGCAGGAATGTGCGGTGCTTTCGTTCAGTCACTCCCTTACTATTACAAGTGGTTCTATCTGCTCCTGACGATGACACTAACTTAGAGATAATCAGGGGAAAAATATTATCATACATTTACGCCATCTTATAAAATGCTACAAACACAGGCATGAGCATTATCAGACCATGACCCTAATTTTATCCAATATTCCAGTGTACTGGGGCCTACATTTCTGTCCAAGAAAGTGGGAACCTTGTTGCAATCCGAACACAATCACTTTTGCTTATGAGGAAGCACAAGCAGAAATTACTAGACTGTAATAATACTACAGATTTTATACAAACTCGGAACGTAGAAATACAGTGACAGCACAACCTCTACCAGGCATCTTCTAACCATAAATCTAGGTGCTCACGTCCCGACAGAAAAAGCCATTGGTTTGTGAGCTTGAGGCCGTAATAACAGCACACACACGGCTTATTTCCACGAGAAAAAAAACTTATGAAGAGCTCTAAAGATTAGCATGTAGAAAGATGATAACACATAGCAGAAATGATACCTTTCGAGCAGCCATAAACACACAGCCCTCGAGGGCCAGACACAACTTCCCCCATGAGACATGACTTTTCTTTTTTCTTTAGTTTTGAAACAAAAGCATCCCCCTCCTCCATCACCCATACGCATTGGGACATTGCTTGTCAAACAAAATAGAAATCTGTGTAAAATAAACCGACTTCTTACACGAAGCCTGACAATAAATAATCCGTCATATTCTACATCATTCACAACAGCCAGGCACAAAGATGAAAGAAAATAAATGAAAGGCCCATCACAAGCAATCAAAACCTCTCTTTAAATACATATATCGTTGCTGTCGCACGCTATCCACCCAAGTCAAAATTTTGAGAATTTTTTATTTTTACACCCTCCCAAAGCTCCATCAATACATTGGAACATCACCAAAATAGCAATTTAATGCTACGGTCAAGGATCACAATTTTCTTGCTTTTTAAGAATCCTGAGAGGAACAGCACAAAAACTAGCTGTCTCTGAAGAAGAAAAAAACTACCCAAATGGACTAATGTGGATTTCTTGCGACACAGACGTTAAACACCTGTTCTTTACTGATCATCCCAACGTTTCATTCCTAAAATGACAAATGGTCGCTTTTAAGGACAAGCGGGCTAACCTAGATTTCGGGGGGTTTCCAGAAATCTTGACCTACACCAAAAGTGGACATTGCTCTACCTATAGGAGAAGTTTGGTTTCACTGGTGTGTACAATTGTTTGGTTATAGAGAAAACTCTCCTTGTCTTTTAAAAAAACTGAACAAGGGGCAAAAACTTTACCTTCGATTTTCTCAAAACAGTATTTTTCGGGATAGCCCCCCTTGTGCTTAAAAGGCGACTAAATAGTCATCAAGATTCCTGGTTTTATGCTGCAATCAAAGCACACAAAAATTGAAGTCAGAAAGTGCTTCTCCACAAAACAGTGGTATATAAATCGAGACAGGTTCTGCATAAAAAGAGGTTTTCATTGCTCGTTGATATAATGACGCCTGTATATCTGTATATTCAACACTTTCACGCGTAAACACCCACACAAATTTCACTCGCTCAATAGTTACATAAAATTTACAATACAGGTATATATATAATATTCTCAAACTTTTTTTCCCTCTGTGCTCTCAAGCAATTCACACTGTCACCAGCTACACATCGACACTTCACCTCTGTTGACAGCTAGTCTCTCCACAAACATTCATACACACACACACTCACACTCAAATATCCACACACACACACTATTCAACCATCCCTACGCAGACCTGCCAACCACTCTAAAACCCCCCAAAAAAGTTGTCTTCAGAATCCTCCCTAAAAATTAAATTTGTATGTAGTAAGAAAAAAAACCCGTGTCCACAATCCCAATCGACTAACCATGCACTGTTAATGCAGCCAAATAAAAACAAGTGTATTTTCAGGCCATTGCGACAAGTTGCTCCAATTTGATCTCTTAAAGCCATTTACAATAAACAGGGCTCCTGCCATTAACCCCCCACAAAATTCAAGTAGATTTCAAGGAGAAATTTTTAAAATTCAAGGAAATTTGGTCAAGAGATTCATGCCGTTTTCAACAGCACGCCAAGAGCACTCCGACAAACAAAAATTTGAATGCTACTTCGAGGAGTTTTCAAGGACTCCTTGGATTCAAGGAGGCTGCAGGAACCCTGAATAAGTCAGGTAAATATCGTTAATCGACCTGAGTATTTAAAAAAAAAGATTTTATGTAAATCCAAAGGGGTTTTTCGATGGGGTTAAAAAAAAAAATCAGAGGGTCCCAATTTCATCAGAGTACTTGGCAGGTCCGACTGTCCCTACTACACATCAACTGGTAGAAAAAATACAAAAGCAGAGGGTGCAAAGGGAGGCTGAAACAACCACGGAGAAAATAATTCGGGAACTGGGTGGGGTGGGAGCTGTCCAGTAAAGACCATCAGTTTCTCACACACTCCACTTGAGGACAAACAGATAGTATTATTGTATTTACACAAGTATTTCTTCACACAGAACAGAGCTCGATGGAGAGGGAGGGGAAAAAAAGAAAAGAGAAAACCGGGCGCTCATCATGACGTGTAGACTTTCTGCAGATTATCACACGAAGGAGTCGCCATGTCCACCGCCCGCTGATACAACTTGGCGTCCCCGTAATTCCGCGCCCTCCACATCATATTTTCCTCTGGTGAGAAAGAAAGTCACAAGAACATGCTGTAGATCACGGGCATGTGCAATGTTAACGTAATTATTAATATCTTCCATAGTAAAGAAGGTGCTTTCTCTGTAAAACTTGAAAAATTAAGCCAAAAAATTTTTTTTTAAATAAAATAAAGCAAACCTGACAAACGTTGAACATTTACTGTGTGAAGAAGAGTCTCAGAGCACAAATTGTGTTATCTAACATTCACTTGTTTGCAGTTGGTCAAAAAGTCTACAATTCCAGTTAAACCCTTTCAAAAGCTTTAGTATTAGCAAGAGTCATGTTTAGTTTTAGTAAGTAAGAGTTTTACGGCGCTGGCAACTGCATAAAGTCATAGGAGCGCGCTAGTAAGAGTCTAACAGCACTTGCAACACAATAAGGTCATATAAATGCCGAAGATTAGAGGTGTTACTAGCGAGTAACAAACACCAAAAAAAAATAACAGGAAAGATCAGGACAACTAATGTATGATAGGAAAGAATGAGCAAACAATACCAGAACACCGACCAACCACCCGTGCCGACTTACTGTAGTTTCGTTCCCTAAAACAGTTGTTCCGTAGCTGCCCGATATATTCCTCTTCCACAGCCCTTTCTATTCTGCGTAAATCGGATTTGAACTCCGCCCGAAAATCGTCCTTCACGTAGTACGTCACTCGGAGGTTGGCAGTCGTCCTCTCAACTCTGTACTTCCTGCAGCCGCAAGCACAACACGAAATACATGATAGCAACGACACTTATGCTAGACATTCAGGGCATTAAAAAAAACAAAAAGAAGAACACGAGTGTACAGCAACTTGTGCTGTGTTAATAAAAGCATATTTGTTCTTTTTTGTTTTAGTTGGCGTCTTACGGCACTTGCAACACAATAAGGTCATATAAGTGCCGAAGATTAGGTGTTAGAAGAGAGAAACAAACCAAAAAAGAAGGAGGAGAGATAAGGACGACAGATGTTTGATAAGAAAGAAGGAGCAAACTGCATCACAGCATCCCAGAACCTCCCACTCATAAATGATGTATAAAACAACTTTTGCTGTAATTTCTCCGGTAAATTAAATATCTTTCAGCTGGATTCAAAAGGTATAATTGAATAGACGATAAGAACGAAATAAAAATTAAATAAATGAAAGTAAACACAAAACGCACAAAACTACTGGATTAAAAGGGCAGGTCAACCCTCTGTGAATCCTAACACTGATTCTCTTCAAACTGTTCACTTTTTCTGTCCAACATTGCACCAACACATAGAGTGGCCCTGTTGAATGTGCAGGCTCAGGGAATCAATCATGTTGGTTACAAATTAAACAAATAGAAGTAATATGAACAAAGTTATATGTGAGGCATCTTGGTGAAATCAGGCGCTCGTCAAAATAATTAAATCCAAGAAATCAGCATTTTTCGGCCAGTTTGGGATTTTTTCCCGAATTTTAGTTTTTTTTAGCTCAACACCTTGTATGTCCATTCAAAACACTTTTATGTGTGGATTGTACTGAAATACAATAATCAAAGGAACAAAAAAAATGTAACTTGGCAGTTTCTAAGGGCTCTTAAGCTATGGAAATCGTCAAACTTTGGCGGCCATTTTTTAGCTAATTTTACTTCTCAAACCAGGTGACCCCACCCCTCTCAATCACAAATATCTCGACCTCTATTCAAGATAATGGATTTTTTTTTTCTCATCAAAAGCAAGGCAAATGAACAACCTTTAAGATGATACCAATAGCTCCATAGCCCCAAAAATTGACGAGCGCCTGATTCCACTGCGTCATGAGACATATAATTGCTGAAGATAAGTGTTACTATGGAGTAACATACAAAGAAAAGAAGGAGGAGAGATGTTATCAATCTAGGAGGAGGAGGAGGAGGAGAGATAAGGATGATAGATAGATGAGTGATAGAAAAAGAGGATCAAACTGCACCAGAGCACCCGCCGACCACCTAACAAAGAGTACACTCACTCTGTTCTCTGGAGATTGAAGACGGCGTCGCTCACCAAGAAGCTACTCAACATAGACAAGACAACAAGGAGAAGAATGGGAGCCAACTGGAAAAACAAGGTGAGGCCACTCTGAAAAGAAAATTTTCAAAAGAAATAAATCAACGGCTGCAGTAATTAACAAAAAGCAATTTGTTCTAAACACTTTGTTCAAAATCCAAAAGCCCTGGTTTTTTAACTGACTTTTCCTCAGTAACAGTTTTACGGCACTTGCAACACAATAAAGTCATGTGAGCGCCAGAAGATTAGAGGAGTCACAAGAGAGTAACAAACATAAAAAAGAAGAAGGGGAGATAAGGACGATAGATGTTTGAGCGAGCAAACCACACCAGAGCACCCGCCAACCTCCCATAGTAAGACTTTTACAACTCTCACAACACAATAAGGTCATATTTATAAATGCCGAAGATTAGAAGTGTAACAAGAGAATAACATAAACAAAAAAGGAGGAGGAGAGATAAGGGCAATAGATGTTTGACAGGAAAGAAGGAGCAAACCAAACCAGAGCACCCGCCAACCAACCACTAATTAAGAGTTTTACAGCTCTTGCAACACAATAAGGTCACATAAGCGTAAAAAATTAGAAGTGTTACAAGAGAGTAGCAAACACACAAAAAAAAAGAAGGAGGAAAAGATAAGGATGATGGATGTTTGATAGGAAAGAAGGAGCAAACCACATCAGAGCACCGGCCAACCGCCCATTTTCCTGAATTGTAAAGTGACCTAATTTACAGTGCAAAATAGAAAGACAATTTCCAAATGAACTTTTAGAATGAGACTAAACATCAATGCCTGAGGTATTTTTTAAGTTTTAGTAAAAGTTTTACTGCACTTGCAACACAATAAGGTCATATAAGTGCCGAAGATTTTAGAGGTGTTACAAGAGAGTAACAAAAATTTAAAAAGAAGGAGGGGAGATGGAGACAATAGATTTTTTATGGGAAAGAAGGAGCAAACCACACCAGAGGACCCGCCAACCACCCATGCCTGTTGTACAATTGTCAGTGAATTTGGTGAACGCACAGGAAGAGAATTCTCCGTCTTCCTTTCCAAATACTTTCTTATTTAAGTAACCAATGAAGAATAACTGCCGCAACAAAAGTAAACAAACAATTTCCAGTTACAATTCCATTACAATTTCCAGCTCAACTCTCCACCAACAAAGATCTTACTTCCAGCTCAACTCTCCACCAACAAAGATCTTACTTCTAGCTCAACTCTCCACCAACAAAGATCTTACTTCTAGCTCAACTCTCCACCAACAAAGACCTTACTTCTAGCTCAACTCTCCACCAACAAAGATCTTACTTCTGACTGCTGTGGCTCTCTGTACGTGTAGTACGTCCTCCGGGCGTGGTGGTGATGCTGACGCCTGTGTACATTGCCTGGCAGAACAGAAATTTTATACTGTTAACACATTACACCCTAAGGGCCTGGACGGGAAGTCCATCGTTAGATCCTAAGCAAGGGGAAAGAACCCACCTCCCGTGAATACAAGCCTTTAAAAAACACATTTTAAAAATACTAAACAAATTCCAAAAATCCTGAAAAAATAAAAGTTCAAAGGAAAACTGAATGTAGTTTCAGAAAAATATAACTTTATATATGCGCAAACTGTTGGAAATGTTGTAACTTTAGTTCAATCGGTGTGTCCGACTCGTCACTCTCACTCTCAGCCTCGCGGTCGGGCCCTAGATCTAAATTCTATAATTTCTCCGTCTGATCAATCGGAATCGCCCCTAACTCTTCCTACAACGTTTTCATCAAAATCTGAGCCATCTGATTTGTCACATGCTCGTTTTTGCTCAAATCCATCGTTATTTCCGTTTTCGAACTCAATTGTGTCGCTTATCAACAAGTCGAGGCACTTTCGAAGTGTCGGTAACGCCATCGCACTTCGATCAGCTCTAATATTAAAACTACTGGCCCGAAAAATTTCGTTTCGGTATCAACGAAAGAAGAAACTTTTTGCTATACTATGCAAATCAAAATCCCGGCCCCAGAGTCTCGTCAAGGCGAGACTTTCGTTTCTAAAGACGCTGGGTCGGCGCAGGTGGTTCCGGGCGAGTCAGGGTGGAGCGCGCAAGGGAATTCGCGGGCGATCTCGGGCGAGTTAGGGTGTAATGTGTTAAGTATGCATTTTGTCGCTTTTAAGGATAAGCGGGCTAACCCGGATTTCGGGGGCTTCCAGAAATCTTGATCAACACCAATAGTGGACATTGCCCTACCTATAGGAAAAGTGTTAATTCATTGGTGTGTACATTTGTTTGGTTTATAGAGAAAACTCTCCTTGTCTTTTAAAGAAACTGAACATGGGGCAACACCTTTACCTTCGATTTTCTCAAAACAGCATTTTTCGGGATAGCCCCCCTTGTGCTTAAAAGCGACCATATATCATCAACAAGCTGTTAAGAAGCCCAGAGAGCAAATTTTAATCAAAATTTTGCTCACTCATAATATAAAATTTTTTCCCCCACTCTCCATTTTGAATTTCTGATCTGAGGTTTCTTATTCTTCCTTGTCCTCGATGACAGCAGCTAAACAGTCAGTCCGATGTCGCGCACAAACTGTGCAGTCCGCTTCAAATCTAAGAGACCGCCATCGAGCTTTCTCTCAAGAGGAGTCACATTCTGCCACGTCTGTGTACGAAGGGTGGCATAGAGCGGGCAGTGCCAAAGGATATGGTTGGCATCCTCTTGGTCGTGTCCACATTCGCAGACCGCGGACTCTCCCACTTTTAATTTAATGTGCATATGGTGTTTGAGTCTGTTGTGGCCACAACGGCGTCAAAAGATTGTGACCTGGTCTGCTCTATTTAGCATGTAGTAGGGGTCAGTCTGTTGTGATTAGGGTGGGATTGTTTTTCAATATCAGACGTTATGATCCAAATGTACAATCTATGTGGAATGTATGTAAATAACTGAAACTTTTTCAATATTTTCCAATTCTATATTCATTCCTGGTTATTTTAATACATCATTTGACTAGGTGCAAAAATATTTTTTAAATTTTCACCAAAGATGATTAATCTGTAATTTTCAAATTTCATCCCCATTCAAGCAAAATTGTGCTGCATAATAGCCTCTTACAGGAACCAAAGTTGAAAAATATACAAATAAATAAAATAGATGTATTCTACAAATCATACTGAAAACTTCAGTGTATAATATGTTGATATTTATACTAATCTGTGGCCCCAAAGCCCTATGAACTGCGCACTAGACATCACCTCATTTCGACCTCCCGAAAAAAATTAGTCCACAAGCGCCCAAAATAATGCGTAGCGAATGAGGTTTTTTTAAAAACTAACTCACCTGAGGGAAAGCCTCCACCAAAGAACATATTGAACAGTTCCTCTGGTGAGATGTCACCTGCAGAAGAAAGGACAAAACCAAGACACAGTCAAGTCCTGATCAAAATAAAATACCAGACAGCCAGTCACTTAAACCTTTCCAACGTGAAGGGAAAAATAGTTTTCTGCAAAGAACCGACCATTACAAAAAACAAACAAACGTGGGAACGTGTTAACAGTCCGTCAAATTGTGTCTCCTCAGTCATTGGATATAGGCAATACACAGTGTGTGTGTGAGTGTGTGTGTGAGTGTGTGAGTGCGTGTGTATGTGCGCGTGTGTATGCGTGCGCGCAGGTGCATGTGTACGTGTGTGTAAACCAAATTTCCCCACATGGATCAATTGAAGTGGAAGTAACATAGATTGTAAAGCACATAGAGGTTGCTGTTGAGAATGAATTTGGGATATACAAATTATTATTATCATTATTATCACGCTAAAATACTAATTTTAATCTGAAGCCAGAGTTATGGTCTCGTCAGTCTCAATACTACCCTGTAGACTTTGCATTGACCAAAATGACTCACAAACGGTCAGGAAGGTTACACAGTTCTTCAGTACTTAGGTACGGTCAAATCTGCTTTAACTCTATCTCCATGGGGGGTAAGGTAAACCCACTATGCCGGTGCGTTTTTAGTACAAAATCTAAAATTGACATATATTTAGTTAGTTTTAGTAGAGGTTTTACGACGCTCGCAACTGCATAAGGTCATATGAGCGCCAGAAGATTAGAGGTGTTACAAGAGACTAACGAACATAAAAAAGAAGAAGGGGAGATAAGGACGTTAGATGCTTGATAGGAAAGAAGAAGCAAACCACACCAGAGCACCCGCCAACCGCCCACATTGACATATATATGTCACTAAACTGGTCATTAAATATAAAAACCTGAACCCATTTCGATAGTTCTTCATCTACTGAAAAATAGAAAAATAATTTGACGGCGAAGTCGTCGTAAAGGAATGCGCCCAAGCCGCTGACGGCTTACCGGCACGGCGGTTCCAAATACGAGCCGCTGGGAGCAGCTTGCCGGAGATAAAGAGTTAACGACCACCTGTCCTAGACAACCATCTGTACAAACAACCACCTCCCATTAGCCTCCCTTGCATTTTCAAAATATACCGATATTGTCCAAGACATCCACCTATCTAAGACACAACCATTTTCCTCCTGTCTGAATAATGGGTAGCACGTCTGGGACAATTTCGACTGCACCCACCGTCAAAACCATGGGAGAAGTCGCCGTGGTCGTGGGAGGGTCTGCTCGGTTGCATCTCAGGACCGTAGAGGTCATACTGCCGCCTCTTCTCCTTGTCGCTGAGTATACTGTACGCCTTGCCAATGGCTGGTGAACACAATAATGCCAAATACTATAATTGTGTAGATACACATCACGTGGAAAAAGACTGATGAAAGACTTCATTTGTGTATACATGGAAAAAGACTGAAAGACTTCATTTGTGTATTATTCCTTTCATATGCAGTTTGGATTTTAAACATGTGATTCATCTTCAATATTTTACATATTTTCTCATTCTTGGTAGCATAAAAATCTCCAGGGGTTCAATGCATGCCAACAGCTCCAAAAAAAAAAGTGAACTGAAACAAATATCTACTTTGTAACGGTCTAATGGAAGGAATTCGGGAAAATATTTGAGAGTATTTAGAATATACCCTAAATTCACATCTTATGTCTTCAATTCCAAAATACTTAATCTGGACTATATTTCAAAATACTACACCGTATGCCCTCCTTTGCAAATTATTATCAAAATTACGTAGAAGTATAAAGAGGGGTAACAAAACAGACTAATACTTGTACCAACCTTTGAAAGCTTCGGTAGCACCTGGAGCTTTATTCTTGTCAGGGTGCATCTGTAAGGCCAGTTTGCGATACGCCTTTTTCAACTCAGAGTCCGAGAACTCCTTGGAAAGCTCCAGAACTTCGTAGACATCCTTGCATTCATTGATTCTGAGAGAGAGAACAGGCATATATATGTTAAAAGAAAGTTGATATGGAAGCAAATGTATTATGATGTGTGAAAAGAGGATCAAAGATGGTAGTTGCGCAAAGCAAAAAACTCAAACCATAGAAAAGAATAAGAGCAAAATACTACGTTGTTTACTTTTTTAGGAAGAGTTTTACGGCACCTGCAACACAATAAGGTCATATAAGGGTCGAAGATAAGAGGTGTTACAAGTGAGTAACAAACACAAAATGAAGGTGATAAGGACGATAAACAGATGTCTGATAAAAAGAAAGACGGAGCAAACCACACCAGAGCACCGCCAACCACTCAAATACTATGCTGTTGTGTACAAGAGAGTAATTAACACAAAAGAGGAGGAGATAAAGATGACAGATATTTGACAGAAGAGAAGGAGCAAACCACACCAGAGTACCCACCAACCACCCACTTAGCCTCTTAAAGATGGAAAAAGTGTGCACTAGCGACAAAAAGGTTGACAAGAGGTGATCTAAATCTTTTTAAAAGACACTGGCTATAACAGTCAGTAAGTGAAGATACTGGATTAAAGTAAAACAAGAACTGGTGAAGGATGATACAAGATAATAGTTGTTCTCCATTATATAACCAAAAAAAGATTTTTTTTTAAAGAATCAAGTGGAAGAGAAGCCCACAGACATCATAACAACTGACTGCTGACAAAAGAAGGCTAGTTAGTTTTAGTAAGAGTTTTACGGCACTTGCAACACAATAAGGTCATATAAGTGCCGAAGATTAGAGGTGTTACAAGAGAGTAGAGTAACAAATACAAAAAAGAAGGAGAGATAACGACGATAGACGTTTGATAGGAAAGAAGTACAAGCAAACCACATCACAGCACCCGCCAACCACCCACAAGAAGGCTAGGCAGATGGACAAAAAAATAAAGGAGAGTAAAGACATTGTGTCATATATTATACCACCATTCAACCACTTGCAATTAAATATTAATTATACGCATTAATATATTTCAGAATAAATCGAAAGTTAAAAGTGCTTGAAAAACAATTGCACAAAAGAATACAGATTATTTTACAAAGAAAAAGAAATGCAGCCAGCAAATAAAATCAGAAGTCTTTTTTACCACATTCATCCTTCCTTTCACCAAACCATTGGAAATACCAAACGTCTGCAAAAATTTATCAAAATGTTTTTTATCCGTATATAACTCACAATACTGAGAAACATGTTCCAAGTCTTCTATGTTTCAATACAATTTTAAGGCAAAGCAGAAAGGAAGTGGCACACATAAACACTAAAATTAAGAGACAATTTTCCAAGAGGGAGCACTGTGTATACCTTTTTACAGATGCCAGCTGATCAGCTGTATAATCCGCATGTTTGTTTTCCTTGTCAGCCTCGTCACCGCCTTTACTGTGGCTATGCTTTCTGTGCCTTGGCTGGGAAGATTCCGATTCTTTCTCCCTTTGAGCCTCTCCATTAGAAGAAAGTTTATCTAATGAATCAAGCAAATCTGAAAATAAAATAAGATGAATATAAATAATCATGCACTCACAATTGTCTATAATATTTTATATAATTAATTAAAAAAGAAAAAACAATAACAATGGAGAGGGAGACACATACCCTAGATGCTGAGTATCGAGTTGCAAACTGAAGGTCATCTTTTATGTGCGACACAAGACACCTAAAAATAGGCACACACAGTAGCGTCTCCTGCTGCCGTGAACAATGTGTCAATGAATTTTGTTTGTAAACACTGTTAGATATAAAGTTTATTGGGTGGGTAAATAAAAGCTTTCACTTTCTTTCAAAGTCCACAAAAGTATTTAATTTAAGAGCAGTAAGCCCAATAGCGTTGCGAAAAATCAAATTTCTAAGAAAAAGATGTATTTCTATCTTTACCGGAAATCCAAAAGACCAAACTTCTGCCTTTCAATTCCATGATTGAATGCAAACTGACTTGACCTTTCACTTTCACCCACATATTTTGCTGTCTTGCCCATGACAAAATACTAAGGGAGGGGAACACAGTTTCATAGCAATGATGATTATTCATTTTGTGCCACTAGTTGTGGAAGCAGTAGTGCTAGTAGAACAACATTGGCACTGACAAAAATGACAATTCACAATAATAACAGATTAGGGACAAATATGCTGTGGGTCGTTTTCAGAACTTTAAAAAAACAAAAAACAAAGGAGCCTAATTTGATAATTCAAAAAAAAAAAAAACGTAACACTTGAGATTTTCCTAGACATTCCAGTCCTAATGGTTGGCACCAAGGACAGGACACAACCCTGCCTGGGATTAACTCTGGCCCTGTGGATAAGCATTGGGTGCCAAGTTCCATTTTAGTAAGGTATAGTTCAGTTAAGTTTTAGTAAGGTTTCATGGCCCTCGCAGTTGTGGATGCCGCTGAAGGAAATGCTGATTTGGGGACATTTTGCCCACCGACAGCAACGACTCAACTTCCAGACCATCACAGAGCCTCCTAGACAATATCTCGCGATGAGTGCGAAAGGGCCTTTGATGTAGCAATTTCCGTCAGTGAGGATGTCTGCATGATCGGGCTCCAACCTGGTTTTGGAGACACCACCTCCGACATGATTATAATGATGAAACAGGTTGTTCCTCCAGAAGACAGCACTCATGTACAATTGCGGTCATGTTTAAAGATACTGGTTTTGACCCTACCAACGATTACTTCTGGTTCTAAACGATTACTTTTTGATGCGCGTGCCGATAGGCCTCTATGGAGAGATAGCCAAACAAACTAATTGTAAAATATGTAGCCCGATAATATATTTAGATCTAGATCTAGCTGCTTCTCTGTAGGCTAAGCATTTTCCTGTGAACGGTCAATGAGATGAGAGGGGTCTTTCTGGGAGTGTATCTGGTGCTTTTTCGGTAGTTCCCACCCCCCTTATTTGAGCCTAGATCTACATCTAATCTAGATCTATATGTTTCATGCGCGGCCAGCTAAGATATCAAACCTAACAACTGCAAAACATCAAATTCCTGAAACCACCTTATTTTTATCTGTCTCCGTGGTTTTATGCATGGAAATGGCTATTCTCATCCGGGGTGAGAATAGAAAAACGATCTACCTCTCACCCCGGGTGAGACTTGCCAGCGTAGGCTATTCTCACCCGGTGCGAAACAAGACCTGCTTTTCCTCATTTTGGAATACTGTCTATCGGTTTGGATGATCAAATTGATAAAAGCCAAGAAAAAATTACGTTATAGCACAAACGCTGTGTCTACGTACACGGTAACCGTGTACATAGCCTCGGGGTCTACGTACACGGTAACCGTGTACGTAGCCTCGGGGTCTACGTACAAGGTAACCGGGCCTGTAGCCTCAGGGTCTACGTACACGGTAACCGGAAGGTTCAAGAGATAGTTCACTCAGCCACTATCTCTCTCTCTCTCTCTCTCTCTTCTCTCACTCTCTGTCTCAATCTCTCTCTCTATCTCTTTTATTTCCCCTCCCCCCCCTCTCTCTCTCTCTCTTCTCTCACTCTCTGTCTCAATCTCTTTCTCTCTGTCTCAATCTCTCTCTGTCTCAATCTCTCTCTCTCTCTCTTCTATCACTCTCTCTCTCTCTTCTCTCACTCTCTCTCTTTCACACACATACACACACACACACACATACAAACACACAGACACACACACCCACACACACACTATCTCTTTCTCTCTCTCTCTCCCTCTCTCTCTCTCTCTCTCTCCCTATCTCTCTTTCTTTCTTTCTCTCCTCTCTCTCTATTTCTTTTACTTTTCCCATCTCTCACTCTATCTCTTTTACTCCCCCCCCTCTCTCTCTATTCTCTCAATCTGTCTCAATCTGTCTATCTCAATTTCTCTATCTCAATTTCTCTCTCTCTCTCTCTCTCTCTCTCTCTCTCTCTCTCTGTCTCTCTCTCTCTCTCTCTCTCTCTCTCTCTCTCTCTCTCTCTCTCTCTCTCTCTCACTCTCTGTCTCAGTCTCTCTCTCTCAATTTCTCTTTTCTCACTCTCTCTCTCTCTCACACACACACACACACACACACACATACAAACACACACACACACATACTCTCTCTCTCTCTCTCTCTCTCTCTCTCTCTCTCTCACTCTCTCTCTCTCTCTCTCACACACACACACACATACAAACACACACATACGCACATACAGACACACACACCCACACACACACTATCTCTTTCTCTCTCTCTCTCTCTCTCTCTCTGTGTGTGTGTGTGTGTGTGTTAATGTATTTTGTGTGTGATTGTAAGTGTGGTGTGTGTAAAGATAGTATTAGTGGGTGGTTGGTGGGTACTCTTGTGTGGTCTGCTCCTTCTTTCCTATTCAACATCTGTCATCCTTATCTTTCTTTTCCTTCTTTTTGTGTTTGTTACTCTCTTGTAACACTAACACCTCTAATCTTCGGCACTTATATGAACTTATTGTGTTGCAAGTTCTAACTCTTACGAAAACAAAAGATAGCTTTTGGTATGAACATGGCGCTTTGGCGGCAAGCGTAAGTGTATGCCTGGTACCGAAGCTCGATCTAATTTCGCTTTCGTTACCATCCAGATAAATCATTGTCCTGTGCTTTCACTTGCTGAAAAAAAAAAGAAAGTTACACAAGCGTGTTGTCGGGCTCGACATCGTGACCGGTCAATGAACCTGTACCTTCGCATCACATTGTGAGTAGCAGTGATCGCATGGGGTCACCAAAGTTCATTCAAAGTGTGCGCTGCGCGAAGTATAGGGTTCCGGAATGGGGGGAGATTATTGATTTTTTTAAAAGGTACAGTCGGGGGGGTGGGCTGATCAAGTGCATACTTTTTAAAAAATCTCTCTCCCCCCCCCCCCCCCCCCCCGTCTCGCGTGTTTTCTGAAACCCGGTCCCCCGGGAAAAGAATAAAAGGATTGTGAACATCTATATTTTAGCTTTCTGTTCCAGATTCGCAGATTTTGAATTTTGCCCCCCCCAAAGAAAAATAAAGGGGGGGGGGGTGGGGGGGGGGGGGCCCCGGGGGGGGGTTGGTCCTTTTCTTCTCATAAAAAATCTATGGGCCCCTAAACCCACCCCCTCTCTTTTTATAGGGTGTTAACCCCCCTGAAAAAACCTCCAAATTCTCTGGGGGGTTCTAATGACCTTATGCAGTTGCGAGTGCCGTAAAACCTTTCTGCTAAAACTAAACTAAACTAGGAAAGATGACGGGGAGTAGATTGGGATAATTTTCGTGGTTTTGGGACATAAAAAGCGGAGTGAAACAGGAAAAGGGTCAAGGTCACGAAGGGAGCGAAGCAGTTACCGTGCACCTAGCTCAAGCGCCCGCCCACAAAACAAAATGCCCGGTTACCGTGTACGTAGACACTGAGGCTATGCGCCCGGTTGCTGGTTACCGTGTACGTATTGAGGCTACACGCCCGGTTACCGTGCGTGTGACATTGAGACTACACACCCGGTTACCGTGTACGTAGACCCCGAGGCTACGTATGCGCCCGGTTGCCGGTTACCATGTACGTAGACACTGAGGCTAGCTTACGTGCCCGGTTACCGTGTACGTAGACCAGGAGGCTATGTGCCCGGTTACCGTGTACGTAGACCCCGAGGCTACGTACACGGTAACCGTGTACGTAAACACTCCGTAGCACAAAAGTAAGCTAATTTGATAGTCTTCAAAGATGCTATAGCTATTTCACTGTTCGAATCGAGCCGAACTATGCGGGTCGCCATTTTGTTTTGCCTGGAAGTTCTCGCAAGATCTACTCCTCCCCTCTCTCTCTCTCTGTCTCTTTCTGAATACTGTCTATCGGAGTGGACGATCAAATTGACCTAAACAAAGTTAAAAAATTAAGTTAAAACACAAAAGTAAATTAATTTGGTTGTCTACAAAGATGCTACGGCTATTTAACTTTCCAAATCGAGCCGAACTACGCGGGTCGCCATTTTGTTTTGACCGGAAGTTCTCGCGCTACTCCTCTCTCTCTTCTGCCCACAGACAATTCAAATTGTAGGCCTGCGCTTTTAGTAGGCTACAATACAGTTGTAATGGAACGTTTGTTCACGGCACAGAATTTTACAATTTTTCTGTTATCACAGTGTAGAATTCTGTGGTTTAGGGTGAACGCAAAATTTGTTGGCCTAGATCTAGGCTCTAGGCTAACGGTGAACGCGCACCGGGTGAGAATAGCCAAAAGACTCACCTGCACTATTCTCACCCCGGGTGAGAATAGAGGTGGCCTTTATGCATATAATTTAGCAAAATTTGATCATTTATTGCATTTCTTATTATTTTCCTTTATCATTCTTTGTGAAAATTAACAGGATCGCATAATTCCACATTTTTAGGCTCAGTTTGCATAATTTCAGAATTAATTTTTTTTTCATAAAACCGCGGGGACAGTTTTATTAGGTCAGGGGGGCAAGCCCCCCCTGAAACCCCCCTTCTCTTGCGGCCAAAACTCACGAATAAAAATTGCGGGGTGGGAACTACCGAAAAAGCGCCGGTAAATTTTTACTTTCACTCCCGCACACAGATGCACTGTTTCAGGGGTCAAACTGCTGTACTGTTTGCTGCAGATCACACATAAAGCCACTAAAACTGTCGCAAATCAATTATTTTCAAGACAATTTCAAATCTAACTGTAAAATATCAAATTATGGGTGTAAAAACAGGGGGGCATGCCCCCCCTGTAACCCCTCAGATTTTCTTTTACCCCAGTGGGGCAGGCCCCCCTGGAACCCCCCGATTGGTCCAAAGCATGTCTATCTCGGTTAAAAACAATCAAATATTTCAAAAACCATTAATTTGCGACGGAAATGAAGTTGATATTCGTGTTCAGCGCATCAATATTTAGTAGAAAATAGACAACTGGTAGCTGAGTGTGAGACGGGAGGGAAAGTAAAAAAATACCAAAGCGCCGTGTATCTGCGCCCGAGTGTTTCACACCTTAGGCTTGGCTTTGGGCTCATTTGCACGTCATGTTCAGTCAGGGGGGAGTGATGTCCCTGCGTGTGAGTGGCAAACTGCGACCAAAACACAAGGGTGCCACCCATACAAAACGGTGTAGATTTCTAGATCTAGATCTAGGCTTACTCAGTTTTACCCAGTTCTACTGGTTCCTAGAGAATTTTACTTTTACAGTTTACAGTACAGTTCTCTAGATCTCTAGCCTACACAGACACAGAGAGTCAGTCAAACAACGCCGGAGCCGGAGAATAAAATGCGAACAAATCTATTCTGACGGCAGTGTTATTTACAATGTATAGACGTACCTGTTGCTTTTTTAGATGGGTAAAGTCTTTGGGCTTTAAGTAAAAACCTATTGGCTTTCTCTTTGTCACCAGCTGACAGAGCTCTCAGTGCAATAGAAATGCACTTTTCACTCTCATCCTTGTTGCCGTCCATTTTGATGACGGCTGTACATGAACCAACAACAGTTGTTGCAAGGGCGAATTTCATTGGCGAACTCTCAAGTAAGAATGAAATATGCTTTTAAACCGCATTTGCGTATTTGATGAGTTCTAGAAATTATTAACCTTATCAAGCATTTTATTTCCATTTAATATTTATGGAGAAAATCCTAGTATAATAGAAAAATACACAATAATCTAAATGCGAAAATAATTTTACACGTTTACAATGGCCATTCCATAGACTTGTACTATAGTAATTAGCCTATGGCGCACAAGTCTTGAACGACTCTGAGACCTCAGGTCACTGGTTGGCTGGAGAAAAAGAAAAAAGAGCTCCACATAAATTGGGTTGCCATTGCTCCTGGCAGTCTAATAATGAAGGAAGACGTAATCAATTATTTTATTATGCTCTGCGTTATTTCGGTATTTGTCATGTAACTTGTCTTCCCGTAATAACAATTATCTATAAATACGATATGAGAAATTGTTTCTGACGAGTTATGTCAAACTTTAGGCCTTTTTCAAAAGAAACTAAGTTTGAGTCAATTAAAATTGGGCAAGGGGTGTACAGGCTACATAAATGAAATTATTGTAAGGTCCATGATAAGGCTGTATTACAAGTACAATTTTAAAGGGTAGGCCTATAATACTGACCTAGCGAAGCAATGAAGGGGGGGGGGGGGATTCATTTCCAATTCTGTGACAAAAACCCTTTCGCTTTCAGGATAAAAGTTACATTTCCACAAATGGCTCGAGTTCTAGAACGCTCCGTTAATATATATCCAACTCAGCTAACGCTGTTTTGCGGGGGGGGGGGGGGGGGGGGGTTCTGAGACGCTCAATTAAATATTCAGATCATTTCATTAATAAATTAGCACACTCAAAGAAGACTTTTGTTAGTTTTAATACCATTTTAACGGCCCTTTGTAATACAGATAGGTCATTTGGTGATGTCTGTCCTGAAGATTTGAGGTACGTGTAATTGTGAGAGAGGAACGTACAAAGAAAAGAGGAGGGTTAACTATAGGACCATATTATTTTTACGATAGATTTAAAAAAAGACGGAGCAATTTTAAACCACCATATTATAATATATATTGCCAAATACCCACGATGAAAGTAGATAGATGTACGTTATAGGACCTATACTGGAGCTTATATAAATAAAATATTATATTTTTTGTAGCAATCATAATTGACTGCTTTGCTACGTTGCAGGGATCCTCGATCATCGCAACACCACGAATGTTTTGTTCTTGAGTGCCCCCATATGACATACGATCGCAGGATATTTAGAGTGAAGTTGGGTTGTTGTTTTTTGTTTGGTTTTTTTTTAGGGAGGGGGCGATTTTTCACGCCCCCATCGACACAATTCAGCCCATTGAGGAGGTGGGCTTCAGAACTTGCCTGTCAGGGCAACCCGGTCTGAGAGGGATGATTTTAAACAGCCCTGCAGAAAGACCGTCGAGATACTCAATAAAAGTTTCTTCTCACCCGGGAATCGAACTCATGTGTCTAGGATTCGACAATGGAGCACCTAAATAGAACGGCAGACGTTGGTTTAAAGGGGAGATCTCGAGTATCTGCAGTTACAGTACCATCAGCTCTCATTATACAGAACTTCTCTTTTCTCGTCTTCTTCTTCTTCCAAGAAACATTTCGGAAAAGGCAAAAAAGAGCTTTATCTTTTTTTTATATAGCCCGCGGATCACTACAGACATTGGGGCACGCAAATAGATAGGTTCCAGAACCTTATATTTTTTTGTTTCAAATGTCATGTAGGTATTTTTAAGCCACCATCGATACAATTTAGATAATTTAGGAGGCTCGTTTCCTACTCTGCCTGACAGTGACGGGGCAATTCGGGCTGAATTAAGATCAGTTAACATCCTAGCAGAAAGACCGAGATTATAATTATGTACTCGACAAAGATTCTCATCACTCGATCTTGGGTCTCCTACGCGCGACAGCCAAACATATCTATACTGCTAACCGCAACACCACGGACGCATTGTTCATGGTTTCAGGAAGCAGCATCCCTGCATTCCGGACATGTCCATTGATGCTCCGTTGCTCTCTCCAAAATGTCACCGAGGGTGTTTTTACAACTGTAATTGTCCCAGTGTATATCTGGTTGAACGTTCTTCTGTTCTTTCCTGCAAGGATGCCATATTTTTCGCTTCCTTTTTGTATTCCCAAAAGCATCATCCTCTCCACAGCAGTCCTGGCCCTGGCCTCTATCTTATTAACCAGCTGGTGAGAGAGACATTTCAGGATCTCGACCTTGTCTGGTTGAACTGTGCTGTCAAGTGTCAAACGAGGTGGCCTCACCAGCCAGTCTGTCTGCTTTTTCAGTTGAGATACCCGTCGTATAACAATAAACTAAATGCGGGACAAAGAGGTTGTAAGGTCTGCTTTGCCCCCCCCCCCCAACCGCCCCTTTCCCGATCTAGCGTACCTTGCTTCCAAAAGGATCTGGAGTTTTAGTCTTAGTACACGACATGTATTTAACAATAATTTAGAGTTATACCTGCTGCGCTTCACCCCCCCCCCCCCCCCACCTCTTCCCCTTCCACAAGACGTACCGGTACATGAGACGCTTGAGATCCACGCCCTCCTCCTGGGGTGGTTGACAGGTGCTCTGGTGTGGTTTGCTCCTTCTTTCCAATCAGAGATCAAGGTACATGGTCCTTTTATCTCTTCTACATTTTTGTGCTTACTTGTTACTCTAGTAAAACCTCTAACTTTCGGCACTTATGACCTAATCGTATTGCAAGTGCCGCAGTAAAGCTCTGACTAAAATTCCTCCAACTGGCCAAGTTATATATGTTTATGATTTAATGGATATGGAAAGCCTACTTAACTCCCTAAGTAACCAACCCAAGCTCAGGAATGCCTTGTGCACGTTGAGATTGTAACCAGAATCATCAGTACCATAATATTTCATATTTCAGTAAGAGTTTTACGGCACTTGCAATCACAATAAGGTCATATAAGACGTGCCGGAGATTAGAAGTGTTACAAGAGAGTAACAAACACAAAAAGAAGGAGGGGAAATAAAGACGATAGATGTCTGATAGGAATGATAGGAAAGAAGAAGCAAACCACACCAGAGCACCCGTCAACCGCCCTTGTACCATAATATAATAGCACACACAGCGTGACATTGATAACAGATGAGCGAACATCTGGCTTGCGACTCACGTTAGCAGCTTACATAATTGCCAACGAGACCACAATGTTTATCTTTTGTTTTAGTAAGCGTTTTACGGCACTTGCAACTTATTTAGGCCATGAGCTGAAGATTAAAGGTGAGACATAAAAAACACAGAAAATTTTAAAAGAAGGAGAGACATGTCTTCAATATCAATCCGGAAGCATCAGGAATCTAAAAAAGTGTTTGTTTTAGTTAGATAGTAAGGTTTTACGACACGTGCAACATATTAAGGTCATACTATAGGCGCTGAAGATTAGAGGTGTTACAAGAGAGTAACACACAAACACACAAAAAGAAGTAAGAGAGATCAGGATAATAGATGTTTGATCAAAAAGAAGGTACAAATCACACCAGAGCACCCGCCAACTACATTTGTACCTGCTAAAAATGTGTTTTGAGACAGTGTTTGTGATGTAATGTTTAGGCTCTTCCCCTGGGGAAGTTAACCCTTCCAGCCCCAGCTATTTTAGTGCATTCGCTAACCCCAGTCCCAGCCAAATACAGCAGCATTTCACCAAAAGAGGGACACATTCTAAAAAGTGATGTAGATCTAGTATCTTTGCAATGAGGTTTAGATAATAACATATTAACAATCTTTAAAACTAAATGAACAAATATTATGAAAATTACCGTTCAATTACTTTTGCTTATTTCGAAAAATTTGCAAATTTGCTAACCCCCCAACATCCCTCTTCTCTTCTTCCCCCCAAACTGAGAATATACGCTCTTGGGACGGAGATAGGTACAAGTGCTACTGAAAATACACCCACATGGGGCTGGAAGGGTTAATGTTATCGAGTATCTCCATCTCTCTGCTGGGACACTGTATCTCGGTCTGGGTTGATACTTACAGTACAGGCGACAGAGTCGAGGCAGCCTGTCTTCTAAAATAGTATGTGTCGCGACGCGGTGGAATCAGACCCTCGTCAATTTTGGGGCATATGGAGTTATTGGTACCATCTTAAAGCCTGTCCTTTTGCCTTGCTTTTGATGTAAAAAATATTCATTCATCTCTAACAGATAAAAATACAAGTCGAGATATTGGCGATTGAAGGAAGTGGTAGTCGCTTACTTTCAGAGGTGAAATTAGAGAGAAAATGGCCACCAAAGTTTAGTTATATTTCCTTAGCTTGAGAGTCTGTGGAAACTAAAAATTGACATCTTCTATGCCTTTAATCAACGTTTTTCAACAAAATCCAGACAGAAATGTGTTCTTTAAACTTTAAAGGGCTTGAAAGGTGTTGGGCCAAAAAACCAAAAATTCAATAAAAATTCCCAAACCTGTGGAAAAATGCTGTATTTTGACTTTCATTATTTTGACGAGCGCCTGATTTCACCACGCTGCCTCACATATTGATACATGTATATATATATATATATGGGCTGAAACTGACAGAAGAATCTGGTGTCTGAGCATAACACTTTGTAGCCACACAGCCAGCAGTACAAAATACCCCATCTGGTCACCCTGCTATGAGAGTGACTGCAACGGACTTCTAGGGCCTGTCACAGAACTGCGTCAAGTGACCGGAATGGATTTATTATACTTTTCACCTTCACATTATTGTAGCAAAGTGACCGCAAAGTGTAAATGTGAAATACGATAGTACTAAAAGTAAAGTTAATGTGCTGAGAAGTCTTCAGTTTAGGAGAGATTTATGGTAACCTGCTGTATGCTCAAAAGCACTGAACGCTCATAATTTTAGTTTTAGTAAGTGTTTTACGGCACTTGCAACACAATACGGTCATATGCGTGCCGAAGATTAGAGGTGTTACAAGAGAGGAACAAACACAAAAAAGAAGGAGGAGATATATATAGGAAAACAGATGTTTGATAGGAAAGAAGAAGCAAACCACACTAGAGCACCCGCCAACCACCCACTCATAATTTTCAGGACCACATACAATAACCAAAGATGATAATTGTTAATTTCTCAAAGCTAAAAAATCATAAAAATGAGTAGTAAATTCACACAACAGTTTCAGTTACATAACTGAGAAAGTTTTTAATAATGAAATAATGAACCATCCAATATATCACAATCAATTTCAACATCTGATCATGACAACAAGAGTCCTGCTAGAAACTTTCAATCCTTCCTCCATTTGCTCTTATTTAGTATTATTAACTTCCCATTACTAACCTTCGTATCACACATCTAGACAGCCATACATTTTATACACACTGCATACAAAATTCACAGATAAAATGACTTTCACAGATACAAAAATAATCTCACTCACATCACCAGCAGCACATCTTTTCAGCTCAAAGCTCGATTTTTCAAATATATATATATATTATAAACATACATGACACTGGTCTCTAGAATCAGTCTCTCCCTAATCTGTAACCACCACCGCCCCCACTCCCTCCTTGAGGCCTTCTGTTGTTGCCGCTGCTGCTTCTATCAGAATCTCCAGCACCCCCACCAAAAATTCTCGTCACGGCCTCTGGTGCTCCGTGGGTGCTCCACCTGCTCACAGCAAACAGCACAACGCCAAAGATAAGTCCATGGATGCCGAAGAGAAGCAGAGCAGCGATGAAGCCGACTGTGACTAACGGCTCTATGACAATATTGCCCAGAGTCCACGGGGGGATCCCCATGGCCCTGAGTCTCTCGTTCAAGGAATGGAAAAGGTTCACAGGCTGGCCCCCCTGAGCAGCAGCCGGATCCTCATGACGCACACTTCCCTGTGAACGTGAACAGAGGACACTGTTAAAAGCATATATATATATATATATATATATATATATATATTATAAATATGTGAGGCGTGCTGACAAAATGAGTAACTTCTCGTAATCCACAAAATGGAGATATTGGCCAAAAATCGACAAAAGGGTCATGTATATATGTAGAATTTTTATTAATGCCATATTCTCTAATTATAACAGGCCTTTTATTATCCCATACTAATAAATTATAAAAACCTCACTTATTTAAGCGTGATGGGCCTATAACTATATCTTTTTCTATAATTCTTGAATCCGAGAAGAAACTCATTTTGTCAGCACTTTTCACATATATATATACAATAAAACTGATTACAGCAGCACCCACTGCAGCGGGACCATCCTTACAGCGGGACATTACCGGAATCCCTTTTTTTTCTTCTGTGTTAAACTCAAATACCTGTGCTTGGGTTAAATGGGACAAGGAAAGGCCTGAACTTGGGTACAGCGGGAGCAATCGAGCAACTTTTACCTTGGGGGAAGGGGCTGTAGGTGGCTCCAAAAAGGCAATCAGCGGTACGGCCTTTTGATTGGCCAGTCCAGTGATGAGTGAGGTGGGGCAGGTGGTAAAGAGACATGGTGCGGACAGACGTGTTACATGAGCACTCCAAAAGTAATGTGCCATAGCCATAGATCTAGGCTAGGCTAAAAAGACAGTAAAAGAAGAGGAGAACGTGGAGTGTGTAATGTTTCGGTAATTCCCCTTGCATTCCTATAGCGGCAGCGGGAACTTGCCAATAGCGGGAACTTGCCAACAGTGGGATTTTTCTTCGGGACTTAAAGTCCCCCTATTGCCATGTTCTACCGTAATAGACTTTGAGAAGATTGTGAATGGGACAGGGCTATATATAATAATACAAAGTTGTGGATGAGTTATGTCGTCAAGGGAGTGAAAAATAGATCAAGTCATCCGAAGTTCAACTTAAACGTTGGGAACTGTGAAAAAGTAGAGGTGCCGCGATTTGGCTGAATTGACCTTCAGTATCACTAGTATCAGTGGAAAAACTTTGAGGTAGAAATACTTAACTATACCATCAGAAAATGAATAAATATCCAACACTAATAACATCTTCGGCACTTATCACTCCAATCCTTGAAATCCTGAAACTGAAAGTTAAAAAGTCTTCAAAAGAGCAAGCTAAATAAAAGGACCACTGTCAATTGTTCGCATCCTTTATTTTTATCAAAGAGAAGGCGGTGGCGATGGATTGGAAATACTGTCAGGAAGTCAGGATGCTGTATAAAAAATATAAAGTTTTAAATTTTATAGGAATCCACAGGGTAAGAGATCAAGGGGAAGACCGCGAGGAACCTGGAGAAAAATCACAGAAATTGATAGAAAAGTGGGAAGACATGGAATAACATCAAGAAGCAGGCCCAGGATAGAGAAAGGTGGAAAGTGTTTTTTCATGGCCTATACCCTGGTGCAGGGTGAGAAAGGCAATGATGATATGCTTCCATTAGTTTACAAATTCTCAATGTACTGGCAACTTACACGCTGCTGAGTCGGAGGAGCACGAGCCTGTGGTCGACTTCTGTTCTGCTGTGCACGTGGATCATCATCCGGCACTATGTCTCCATTGGCCAAGATTCGAACCATATTTGTATCGCGTCTCACCAACTACAGTAAGCTGAAAGTTAATTTTAAAAAAGAATTTTAAAAAATAAATTGGACAATGGCATGAATGAGCAGCAGCTATGATTGTACAAAACTGTAAACATAAAGTTAGAACTCTCAGCTGCTCAGTGTAAGTAAGACTTCGTCATTTACCATTTTTTTAAATGATCGAAAGTTTCTGGTGTTTGACTCTCATTCAATAGGTCCCTAGTTCGAATTCGGACAGCGATGGAAAATTTTCCTTTTTTAAATTTCTCCTTTGACCTCCTTTTACTGTTCTCTATGTTCTGTAGTCTTCTTTAATTTCCACGTTCTGCCCCCTCCCCTTGGCTCCTGACTCGTTCTGGAGCCTTTCTACTGCTCCTTGTCTTTTAACCACAGCCCTGATCTTAGGATAGGTAAGTTCGAACACCTAGCCTTCTCAGACAAAAAATCTCGGAGGTCCCATGTAAAGATCCCTTCGTGGTCCTAAAATCAATGAGTCGGTTTCGGCCACCACAAGGGCAAAATTCTTAATTTCCTACCAGCTGAAAATTAGTGTCCAGCGCGCAAGACCTTTATGTTATGCAGAGTTGCGAGCGCCATAAAATACACATATATACCAACAAACAAAAAAATTCTTACACTACTAAGCAGTCATGAATATATATAGAATCTATTCCCATTACAATCGAGGCCCCCGTCCACCCAATCTCTCGTCCCCAAAAAAAGGATTGAAAAAGAAGTTACAAAGCAACTGACTATCTTTTACACATAAAAATTTAAATTTCAATATATATATGACATTCTACAAAATCGGACACCTAAGAGGCTAAATTTAACTTTGGTGGACCCACCATGTTTATATGTGCACTAGCCATACAACAGTGGGAGGTTTCCGGGGGGCTAAGCAACAATAATTTTAAAAAACACACATATAGAAGCATAGATCTAGAATCTAGATCAAGCAACAACTAAGATTAAGAGAGCGGACTATTATTGCGCAGCAAGGCTCAACAAAAGTAGTTCGGACTGCGTTCAGTATTGACAGTTGGGTTCACCAAAGTTCAATCTTACCAATCTGTCACAAATAAATAGGCATGAAGTTCATAATTTAGCTTAAACATTCTCAAAAAGAAATCTCAACCACACTGCCTCACACAAAGTATAATAAGGGGACAGTTCTCACTCCAGTGTGCTGTGACCTGTGTATTTAATCTAATTTAGAATTTAGGCTGTGGGTAGGTACCGGTACTGTTCACACTTTTGAACTTTGAAAAGTAAGCAATTTGATGAAGCCCCAATTGTGTTGATCTTGGCAAACCGCTATGGTGAAAATTAAGTTCAATCACCAAACACGCCACATTGAGTGCTGAGAGCTAGATATCTACCAGAGGAGTCTGTCACTGTCTGTCAGTGAGTTAGAACTTGTGCTACGTATAAAACAAAATATAACCCATGACCCGGAAACCGGGTGCGGAAAAAAACCAGTAGCATTATCTATAAATCTAAACCAATAGCCTAACTCTTAAAATCTCATGAAACGCCATTACTTGTAGCCTGAAAGTACATTCATGAATGTGAGAGAACGAAGGAGAATTCAGGCAGTTTCTTTCTTTTTGCGGATTCATGAAATCTTTACATTAGTTAAGTAAGTTTCAGGAAGAAAAACATGCTGTCGACACTTAGTCTTTTTATTGAATTACAGGCATTTTTCTTCTAATTCGGAAGAATTGTAGTGTAAATAGGCCTACAAAGTGTACCGTACGTACTAATAACTACATTTTTATATGTACACAGTTATCTTTATAGGCTAGTGTAGAATTGAACAGCTTTATGATGATCTACTGAAATTAACATTTTCGAATTTTAGCCTATATTAAATTCAAAATTTTAATGCAAAAATAAGCGTGCAATATAAAACTGATAATTGATTATACAACAAGTCACTGGCCTTAGTCAGAAGAAGCAGAAATTACGGATATCATATGCCAAGAAGGCTAAAGTTGATAATTGCCAATTAACACTTTTGATTTTCGCCATTTATATTCCTTTTCCGGAGATTTATGATAATCATTTATGATCATACAGAGAAAAGTAAAATGGAATTGAAAATAGAAAGAAAGTAGCCATATATACACATTTACCACGGTACATTCTAAATGGGATTAACAATTACAAGAAAAGCTGGCCCATCTATGAAAAGGCGCAGCCATCAAGTGCTTGGCCGATACCATAGTTTTTGCATCGAGTCTAATATAAAGAGAAACGAGTACCCATTCCAAATTCCTATTTTAATACAACTTAAAGTTATAAGAGTTCTCATTTATTTATTTTTTCTGCTTGGTTTGTGAGATTCAAATAATATGTATGCGTGAGATAACTATGCTGTTACGACGTTACTTAATTCGATGACTATACATTGTAGAGGGGTGGGGTGGAGCGGGTTTTTCGTACTGTACATTATTTGTGAGTTGTCAAAAAATTAGTTGTCTTCCGTTTTGTGTCATTTTGTGTATTTTCTATTAAACAAAATATGTCTCATTATCAAGCCCGGGTTCAGCATTCTTTACCCCATTATTTTTTCTTTTTAATCTGGTTATCCCTGTTCTATCCATCATGATAATTGTCTTTTATTGCTGTGGCCATCGACAGTGCTTGGACATAATAATCGTTGTTAACAAGTTGTTCTCCTTCTTTTCTGATTAATGCCAATTTTTTATCTTTTACATATTAATTTTTCCCTGCGACACCCAAAGGGTAGGCCTATAAGGGGCAGATAAAAGTAAAGTAAAAATATTAATTTGAGGCTCAAAGGAAAAGCGAAAGATGATGTTTTAGATACTCCATAACAGTTTGTCAGTACTGTAACCTCGATAAGCACATCTTGATGTCTTTGGGGTCGATTATCGCATATCGATACTTGTTTGTCTTAGTCGATGAAAGGAAAGAAAAGCTGAACCTCCTGAAACGTCAGGGTCTCAGCAAGTACAAGAAAAAGGTATTTTGGAGCTAATTGTAAACTCCTTTGTAAGCCACCGTGGTCTTTTATAGAACATTATTGTCCTTTTCATATAATGCTATCAAATTTATCATACTACACAAGGAAATAAATTATGGTGAGAAATCCCTCATGATCCACCCTCTTGCCTCTGCCTCTTTCACTTTCAGTGAATTCAGTCAGTATCAGCATCGGTCTCCTCTCTCTGAGTCTCTCAAGTTTTCAGCTTCTCATTATTTTCATTGAGAAATTGTACACACAAATGACAATAAATTAAAACCTAAAACCTGTAATCTCCCAATTTTTTTGGTGCCATACTGATTGGTAATGTCTTATTGAAATTTCTCCAAATTTGGTCATTTAGCCGAGTTGGTTAGCATGGCCATGATTGACTCTTAATTGAGAGTAGGTGAGTAGGCTAATAAAAGTAAGATTTTTAGTGTCTTCCTCCATCCTTTACTTTTTATATGTTTGGCTGGATTGTACTTTACCAGACCACCCGTCTCGGCCTGTGATTACTACGCACTCATCTTGTGTACTCTACTCTACGTGCGGACAAAAGGTAATTCCGCAGGCGACTTCGCACACACATAGCGCAAGCCAGCGGCGACTGGCGAGGCGAGGTGAGCGAGAGGTGTTGGCTGAGAGTGGGCAGGAGATTTAACTTTGGTGGACCACCATGTATCACACCAACAGGGGGGGGGTTCAGGGGGCTTGCCCCCCTGGAAATATTAAAGAAAAGGCACAAATGCAAAACACTAACATGAGCGGACAGTCGTGTTTACATAATGAAACAACAGTGGGGGGGAGGGGGGTGTTTCAGGAGGGCTACCTGGCAACAATAATTTAAAGACACAAACACACACACACATAATAACATGAGCGGACAATCGTGGTAGAGGTACTCACCAAGTCGCGAGCAGGGCTGAGGGGGTTGCAATTATGCAAATGAGCTCTCGTGCACATCTCTAGCCCTCCATTGTACTTTGCCGGACCAGGAGTAGGCCAAGCCAGCAGAGTCGCTGGCAAATAAGAATAGTGTACCACGTGATTAGATTGACCAATTAGCTTAGCCTCAAGGTGTCAGGGTCGTGGGTCAAAGGGCAGGGTCGTGATGACTGAAAACCCGGTAAGAGACGTCAGTCGATTGTTGGCAGTCAAAGGGTGGGGGCGTAGAAAACTGAGCAGGAGACTGAGTAGGGGAGTTTGGAAACGAAGAATTGCGGGCCACTAGGCGCCATAGCGAAAGTAGTCCCGACCGGTGGTCCGGTAAAGTAAAATATTACCATGTTTTAGTGAGTCACTTAAGTTTTTTTTATTCCTCCAGGTGGAAATCTAGATCTAATATTATTCTTGCTAATTTGAGTTTGTCAATTTAATCTGTCTTTGAATTTGTTGAACACCTTTTTACAGAACTACTTCATTTGTCATTTTGAATAATCCGAAATGATTGTGGCACTTCACACACTTGCTCATCTTCCAGTTTGGAATATTTTATTCATTTTAGATTAGAAAGCCTAGTCATTTTAAGTTCAATGTCAATGTGTTTCATGGGTCTCAATATTCCGCTATTTAGCGGGAAAATACATAAAAGATCTCGAATATTATTTGAAAACAAAATCCGATAACGTCTTTGCCGGTCGCGATTGTGATGTTAATTCGGCTTTTCCCGGTCTAAGAGTACGTTTCACGTGAACAGGCGGCTATGGCGGCAAGCGGAATTGTATGTGACACCGAGGCTCGACGGGAAAATCAAGATCTCAGAAATTTATCTGTAAAAGTCTGAATACGCAACATTTGTAATATATATGCAGGTTCTGCATTACAAACGTGGTGTCGCCATGAAAATAATGTTCGTCACTGTGCTGTCGCTTGTGGTGGCAAAAAAAAAAGAAAGAAAAGAAAGTTATACAAGCGTCTTGTCGGGCTCGTCATTGTGACTGGTCAATGAACCAGCGCGCGTTCTGAGCGCTGTGAAGTACAGGACTCCGGAATGGGGGGGGATTATTGATTTTTTTTAAAAAGATACACTCGAGGCAGGGGGAAGGGCTGGACGCAACACCAGAGGACAAAAAAAGAAAAGAAATTGGAAGCAAATTTTAATATTTAAAATATTGATTACTACTACAGCTCTCTGCAAAGTAAAGTGCGCGTTTGTGCATGCCTTGTGTATAATTGGGATCCGTCATAACTACTACTACTTGTAAGCGCGTTAATGAACTTAGGGCAGGGGCTTAAGTGTTCGCGTTTCATTGGATGGGCGACTGTAAATTATGTCTCTATATTTTAGCTTTTTGTTCAAGATTCGCAGATTTTCAGTGTCACTGCATCTTGCCCTCCCACAGTTCTTACACCTCTCACACTGAATAGGTTTACTTGAGCTCATTCAAGTAATTACTCTACTTTAAGTTTGAGCATTAATTTTGTCTTTCACGTTTATTATGTGAATCATTACACTCAGACTGGTTCATGACAGTCGATATTCTGGTTCTAGGCCTTTTCCCAGGCTCAAAACAAGATTCATTTTTATATAGTTTATATATATGCAGGCGAATATGATGATGGTAAAATATATAAATAAGTCGCAGAAGACCACAGTGCGCCTCCACTTTCTGTACGTAATCAAGACTTACTTGAAATTATCTTCCAAACCCTCAAACTGGTATGAAATAACCTTGCTTTGATAAATTGATGGTTTTTATTTCAACATTCTAGGGTCCAACAGTATAATAATAGTGCGTGTCTCGCGAAAATGGGCTTCTGTCCCGATCACGCGGAAAGCTCCTCTTTTAAAAAAATTCTGAGTTGAGACCCATGTGTTTAGTTATATTATATATAGATCTAGTCTAGACGTCTAGATCTATATAGGCTATAGTATAGTGCTATAGGAGGCGTAGATCTAATCTATATTGGTTTTTTTTACCTATATTTGTATATTGCAGGTTGCTCCGGTTGACTTGTGCTGAACTTCAAAAGGAAAATTTAAGCAAACTATGTCTGGAATAGCTCTTGGAAGACTTGGGGAAGAAAGAAAAGCTTGGCGAAAAGATCATCCATTTGTGAGTTTTATTTGTATGAAGTGACTATATTTCTCAGAACGCTCGGGAAAATAAACTTGACTGTTCTCTGGATTTTTTGGATATTTGCGAGAGTTTGGCACCAACTTTCATTCTGCGAGGACTCGGAAGAAGCATTTTTTGCCTCAAATTGAGTTTCTAGAGCTAGCCATTTTTAAACGTCTGAATATTCAGATAGAGATCTACTTCAATTGTGGTTGGGGCAATGTTCCTGTAGTTCTTTTGAATATGCCTTCAAGAGGTACTGCGGTGAAGCTACAGCAAGCACCTAGCACACCTCTGTGATGGGCCCAAATATAGACGACGTATTTCCACCATGTATTTTTATTGTCTTCTGTGGTTTCCCTCGCCAGTTGAAGAGATCTCGCTGTGTTTGCCTTTTTGTATTAATTTGTGTTATAATCTTTTATAAACAAACAATCTCAGTAATTCTTGTAACATAAATTAACCTTCTCCTGAAAGTTGTACACACCCTTAAGCATGTTCACGCACACACGCGCGCGCACAGCCCAAGCAGTCAGCGATGAAACCTAGTGACGTAGCCTATCGTGCTCTAAGCGTCAAAGCGGGCCCGCCAGGGTGAGATATAGTCAACTGGCGAGGGAATCCGTGGAAGCCGACAAAAATAGATGGCGGTAACACGTCACCTATATTTGGGCCAATCGCAGAGGTGTGCAAGGTGCTCGCTGTAGCTTCGTCATGTCACACACACACACACACACACACACCTCTGTTCACACACTCACACAGGCCACTCCATTCGTAATTTATAGTCTTACATCCAAGGAATGAATTGTATCATGTCATGATTTTAGGTGACGAAATGTGATATTTGGCAGTTTTTTGCATCATAATTGAACAACATTGATTTTCCCAGGAAAATGTAATGTATGTTGTCTAGAGGTTTTATTTGCGTTGAGTTTTGTAAACCTTGCTTAGAATGGCAGTTACATGTTTTGACCGTAAAAATAAAGGCGTGAAGCTTGTTTTTTAATTTTAACTTTCTTTTTCAGGGATTTGTGGCCAAACCAACAAAGAACCCCGATGGCACGTTGAATCTGTTGAACTGGGAGTGTAGGATTCCGGGGAAAAAAGGAGTAAGTGGTTGGTGTATGCTCTGACATTTTCTCTCCTGGCCCACCAAATTCTGCACTTGTCCCAGTTTTGTTTCCTTGACTGACACGATACATTTGATAAATCTTGTTTCTCGTTTTATATCTTTAGCTTACACTTCCCTGATCAGCGGCTGAGCATTTGTTTTGTTTTGTTGGGGGGTTCAGTTGGGTTTTTTTTTTAACATAGCCGGATTTCTTAAATTCTACAGAGATTGCACTTATATAATGTAAAGGTCTTCATACACGATACGCTGGGTATATGATCAGTAAATTTTGAGCGCCCAGAGAGCCGAAATAGCTCAACAACTTCTTTCGTGGCCAGTTTTTTTCTTTTGGATCAGTCAAGGGGACAGAATTTTCTTTTGAGTTTGAGTTTATGTTGTGGTATGGGCTTGTTGCTGAGGAGAGAGGAATGTTACCAACAGCTTCAAATATGGTGGACTCTGAGTTGATTCTTGGTTAAGTTGAACTTTTCAGATACATTTATTAAGTATAAACAGTTGACCAATTTCAGATGCTCATGTGGTCTGGGGGTTACATTTTGGTCTAGTCGGGGGTTTTTTAAATTTTCATCTGCCCAGCTTCAATCGTCTTACTTTGTTCAGGAAAAAGAAACTTCTTGTCCGTGTCTGTGCTTACGATTATAAAGGATGGTATGTGTTTTCATTTTGAAAAGTTAAAATGCTTCTAACTGACAAAGCCCACTTAATTGGTCAAGGCAGTTTGCCAGCACCAAGTGTTTCAGCTCAGTACCTGTTTGTTGTGCTTTATTTTGTGTATGATGGTCACTGATTACGAAGGAGAGTTGTGTTGTGGTATAAGAATCAAAAAATGATTCCCTTTTTTTAAAATAACAAATTGTTTTGTCTTTTGTTACAGACTCCATGGGAAGGTGGATTGTATATGTTGCGAATGCTCTTCAAAGATGATTACCCTAGTTCCCCTCCAAAATGTAAGTATTCTGTGTTTTATCATTATGTTTGTATATTTAATTGACATTGTAGTAGTGACAAATTGAGAGTTTTAGAGAATGTAACTTTTAAAAAAATAAAAGTTTTCTTTCTTTTTTGTCTGTTATTTTTAGAATGACATGAGATAGGAAAATCTAGATCTAAAGAGTTCAGTATTGAAAGTTACTTCACAGCACATTGTACAAATTTTCTAAGTGGTACTTTGTTTTGACAGGGTTTTTTTTTACATTTTAAGAATACTTATAGGACTGAAGAAAAGCTGCGTAACGTTTTCCTCTATGAGGTCTAGTTTGAATAATGCCTACTGGTTAATACCAAGAAAATGAATGACCATATTGCGTCTCTAACTTTTTTTGTGTGTTTTATCTAAAAACCCAAATCTGTATTTACATACATTATATCATGACTTTCATGCGGCCTAGTTTTGATAAAGACTTTAAACCCACACACATATTTACCCGAGTTTGATGTAAACTGTTTTGTCTGCTCCCCAGGCAAGTTTGAGCCACCTCTGTTCCACCCAAATGTCTATCCATCTGGCACTGTGTGCCTCTCCCTGTTGGACGAAGAAAAAGACTGGAGACCAGCTGTCACAATAAAACAGGTGTGGATGGTTGGCGGGTGCTCTGGAGTGGTTTGCTTCTTCTTTCCTATCAAGCATCTATCGTCCTTATCTCCCCTTCTTTTTTATGTTTGTTACTCTCTTGTAACACCTAATCTTCTGGCACTCATATGACCTTATGCAGTTGCGAGTGCCGTAAAACTTATAGTGAACAAAAACAGGTGATGATGCTCTGAGGTTGTTAGACAGTGGCTCACAGTGTACTTCTATATATTTTTTTTACTGCTGTCCTTTCATGTATATATAGTTTATGTATGGTTGTGAAAGTTCTTCTTTATGTGGTTGAACTGGTTTTCTCCTTGTTTGTGTGAAATATTTTCTCTTGCGTGAATGATCATGTGATTGGTGTAAAGCGCTCAGAGCTTATAAATACTAGTAAAGGATAGAGCGCTATGTAAATGCAATCTATTATTATGTTTGTGGTGTGCTCTTTCTTTCCCATCAAACATCTATCATCTTTGTCTCAACCTCTGAGTGTAATAAGACTCTACCATTGGCCATTTAGAAAAGTGTCGTTTTGACAGCCTTACTCTAAGCAGTCAATCTCTCCTCCTTTTCTTCTTTGTATGTCTTCTTTGTTATTTTCTTTTATCCGCCGCTTATACCCTTTTGGGTGTCGCGGGAAGAAAGAGACTTCTCTCTGCCACCAGTCGGAGATCTTGGGTCAGGTGAATGCCATGAGTTGTTGGTGTATCCCCGACTCCATCTATCCAGGTCTTTCTCGGTTGCCCTCTAGCCTTGTTGCCATTGAATTTTTTTATGTAGGCACGTTGTCACTGTGCTGGATGGTGTGTTGGTTATCGTATGAGATGTCCGAACCATTTGATTCTTTGGTGTTGGATGTGATGCATGACATCATTTGTGCCCACCTTTTCTCTGACTACTGAGTTTCTAATTTTGTCTCGCCTGGTCTTGTTTACTGCTTTTCTAAGACATCGCATACCCCCCGAGGCGGCGCTACTGACTGAAGTGTCTTTAGGCTATTCCCAAAGGGGGGGGGACATTAACATCTGAAGTTCTTATGCCCTGTAGAATTGTAATTGTAAATGGGCTGATTCATCAATGTCATGCTCATAACTGCCTGAACTGCAACAGGGAACTGCTGAATTTTCTTTCTTAACCCTTACCATTGTCATTTTCCTCTACTTGTATGTTTGTCACACTCTTGGAAGCTATTTCCGGGTTGCCTTGATAGTTGAAGCAGACTCTATGCTGTTGAAGCTAGAGAGGTAAGCAGAGTAAGCCCATTCCCTGTATGGACTTCTCTGTTGACATCCACCCCTTGGCGCTCATACGACCTTATGCAGTTGCGAGCGCTGAAAAACCTCTACTAAAACAATAAGACATCACATTTCACATGTTGTAATTCTTTGTGGATTTTTTTCTGTATCCAATTGGCCCCTCTTGAGTTATCTTCCTCTTTGTAGTTTAAAATGGTAGAGTTCTGTAATTCTGTGTTAAGTGTTTGGCAAATAATATGTGCTGCCGTCAGAGCCTATGCAGTTCAACATGGATTGGGCATTATTATATAATCATGCCATATATTACAATTACTACATGTAGGCCTACCAAGGTGTTGTCCATCGTCCATTCCTGTCTTCTGGGGGTGGTTGGCGGGTGCTCTGGTGTGGTTTGCTCCTTCTTTCCTATCAAACATCTGTCATCCCAATCTCCCCTCCTTCTTTTTTGTGTATGTTCTCTCTTGTAACACATAATCTATTCTTCGGCACTTATTTGACCTTATTGTGTTGCAAGTGCCGTAAAACTCTTACTAAAACTAAACAATTCTTGTCTTTTGACCCCTTGAACTCCTTGATCATAATGTTTGACCACACTTTGGTCCCTGCAGATCCTTCTGGGAATCCAAGAACTTCTCAACGAACCAAACATCAAGGATCCAGCACAGGCAGAAGCTTACACAATTTACTGGTGAGAAAACTTTTTAATTAATTTTTATTTAGAAAACTATTGATTTGTGTTTGTTCAAGTTCATTGTAAATTTGTAGCTTTAGTACATCTTGTCTTATATTTTGATTGTGACAAATATTTGAATCAAATGACACAGTCCTGGTGTGGGTGATTGGTGGGTGCTCTAGTGTGGTCTGCTCCTTCTTTGCTAACAAACATCCATCGTCTTTATCTCTCCTTCTTCTTTGTGTTTGTTACTCGCTTGTAAGACCTCTAATCTTCTGCGCTTATATGTGACCTAATTGTTTTGCCAGTGACGTAAAGCTCTTACGAAAACTAAACAGCGTGAGAAGGGAATAAGGATTTTCCTTGCTATTGCTGTAGTAGAGCACACAGCTCTGCACACAATCAAGGCTGTCTTGCCGAAAGAAAAGTATTGATTTGTGTTTGTTGAAGCTTATTGTAATTTGTAGCTTTGGTAAACATCTTTTATTTTGATTGTTACATACTAAAAGTGGATGCTCAGATGTGGTCTGCTCCTTCTTTCCTGACAAACTCTCCTTTTTTCTTTTTTCTTTTTTTATTTTAAAAAGCTCTCTTTAACACCTCTAACCTTCTGTATTTATATGACATAATTGTGTTGCAAGTGCTGTAAAGGCCTTACTAATATCAAACAAACGGTCCTTGATGTCCAGTACAATTGTGTTGCGACGCGATGGAATCATGCCCTCGTCAAATTTTGGGCACGTAGAGTTATTGGTATCAGCTTAAAGCTTGTTTGTTTGTCTTGCTTTCAATGAAAAGAATATCCATTTGTCTTAGATACAATTCGAGATATTGACAATTGAAAGAGGTGGGGGGTCACCTGGTTTCAGAGGTAAAATTTGGGAGAAAATGGCTTCCAAAGCTTAGTTTTTCCTTAGTTTGAGAGTTTGTGGAAACTAAAAATTTACTAAATTTTTCAATAAAATCCAAATAGAAATGTGAATGGACATAGAAGGTGTTAAGCCAAAAGAACAAAAACATAAATTAAAATTCCCAGTCTGCTGTAAAATGCTGATTTCTGCATTTTCATTATTTTGACAAGCGCCTGATTTCACCACGCCGCCTCACAATTGTTTTGTTTCTTTGCTAAACTGTATGATCTACATGGTTTCTTTTTTAAATTTTGTCTTTCACAGTCAAAACCGGGCAGAGTATGAGAGAAGAGTACGTGAACAAGCGTCTAGATTCCGGGACCCAAACAAGTGAAATGTTCCTCAGGCTATACTCCGTGGGTTGGGAGGGTGATGATGGCACTGGGCATTTTTTGGGCAATGTTTATTTTCACAGCTCTCAGCTGTGCGTAGCAGCAAAAACAGTAATTATATACACTGACTACTGTATCCATTATGTCTACAACAATGTGTAAGTCTTACTCTGCCGTTGGTGTACATGTGTGTGCGTGAGTGTGTGTGTGTGTGTGTGTGAATTGCTGTCGCCTGGTTATCGATGGTGTGTTTGTATTATTATGCTCCAACTGTGGAACTGGAAGAAATAGGTCAACTCGTCTGTGGGTGGTTGGCGGGTGCTCTGGTGTGGTTTGCTCCTTCCTTCCTATAAAAAATCTATTGTTGTTGCAAGTGCTGTAAAACTCTTACTAAAACTTTAAAAATCTTTGGCACTTATATGACTTTGTTGTGTTGCAAGTGCTGTAAAACTCTTACTAAAAACTTTTGAAAAATCTTCAGCACTTATAGATCTATGGCCTCATTGTGTTGCAAGTGCCGTAAAACTCTTACTAAAACTAAAACTAAGGACAGTCACACGGCTGGAGCATAACACCATGGGTATGAATTTCGAGTGTGTGTGTGTGTATTGGTGTGTTCTTTGCTGTTCGATCGGCGAGTCGGACCGGATCATTCATGATGTATGTTTGCCTTCAGAATCAGCACATTGATGGTCATCCTTCCTGAAACAATGTCCGAAAGGTCTTTTGGTAATAGAACCGGTGTGTATGTGTGTGTGTGTGATCATGTGTTATTTGCTTCAAATGTCCACAGTCGCATTCATTTATCAAAAAAAAATATTGTAACCATCATCTCCCGTCATATCGGTTATATGTTGTTCTTGTCATTAAAGAGTCAAGTGAACTCAGTAATAATGAGTTTGGTTGTTGTTAGATTGGTAGCCTACTACTAACTACAGTTTTTGTATGATGGCACAACACACATTGGTGCTGGTGGTTGGAGAATGCTGCGTGGATGGTTGGCAGGTGCTCTGGTGTGGTTTGATCCTTCTTTCCTATCAAACATCTTCATCTATCGTCCTTGTCTCTCCTCCTTTTTTTTGTGTGTTTGTTACTCTCTAGTAACACCTCTAATCTTCTGCACTTATATGACCTTATTGTGTTGTGGTGCAAATGCCGTAAAACTCTCACTAAAACAACACACTCTGGTGCTGATGGTTGGAGAATGCAGCTTGTTAGTAGGTCTTGTTGCTTCTCTTTGGTCTTATTCTTTTCTCTTCCCCCTGGGTGGTTGGCGGGTGCTCAAGTGTGGTTTGCTCCTTCTCTCCTATCCTAACATCTATCGTCCTTATCCTTTCTCTTTCTTTTTTGTGTATGTTACTTCCTTGTAATACTTCCATTCTTCGGCATTTCTATGACCTTAATGTGTTGCAAGTGCCGTAAAAAGTATTCTCTTCCCCTTGCTTTTGTCTGTCTTAGTTTTTCCCCAGCACTGAATGGAGTTCAATTTGGAGGTCCAACGTCTTTGATTTCATTTAAGTAAAAGTGCTTACAATGTGAACGAATAAACAAAGTGTGTTCACCTTCACTCCGCCATCCACCAACTGTCTGAATTGTATGGTCCTTAATTTAACTAATTAATTCAGTATTCACCCCCGCCATACTACCAGAGGTACACACTGCACACAACACCCAACTGGTTGGCTACTGAATAATCTTTCTCTCACGAGAAATACATAGAAAGAGAGGAGACTCTCGACTCTGGGTCTGAGTGCATGTGCATACGTACTGTACATCACCCACAAAAGACGCTTTTCAAAATCAGATCGCACAGTAAAATCATGTATTCCTTTAGTTTTAATAAGTGTTTTACGGCACTAGCAACACGATATGTCATATAAGTGCCGAAGATTAGAAGTGTTACAAGAGAGTAACAAACACACAAAAGAAGGAGGGGAGATGAAGACGATAGATTTTTTTGTAGGAAAGAATAAAAAAGGAGCAAACCACATCAGAGCACCCACCAACCACCCACAAAGAGACAAGACTCTCGACTCTGAATGCATGGAATGTACATCGCCCACAAAAGACACTTTTCTTAAACTCAGATTGCACCGTAGAATCATGTAATATTCCTTGACATTGGGCAGTCAGCAAAGGCTATACTCATACTGTACAATACACCAGATGAACCCCGTTGAACCACCAGCCCCGCTGTTCTGCCAACTTCATACGCGTCACAGGTGGCGGTACACAACCGAGATTTGACTGTAGACCTAAGTCTGTCCCCGTCGCTTTATGCAAGGAAAAATATCAAAATATGCAAACTGAGCCCAAAAAAATGTGAAATTATGCGATTCTGTTAATTTTAAAACAAAGAATGATAAAGAAAAATAATCAGAAATAATGCAAAAAATGGGTTGAATTATGAAGGGTGCATAAAACCACGGGGAAAGATAAGTATGGGTGGTGAGCATTGTAAAGTAAACCTCAAGATCACCTCATTTTGAGACTTTAACCTGGGTTATATCCATACCGCCGTCCAGCAAGTCACCAATTAATTGTTGTTATTGTTTTGTTTTGTTTTTTAAGAAAAGAAAAGCACATCGACACAAAGTCGTACATATGTATCATTACAGTGCGAATGATTGATAAACAATAGAAACAACAGAGTGGGTGGTTGGTGGGTGCTCTGGTGTGGTCTGCTTCCTTTTTCCTATCAAACATCTATCGTCTGTATCTCCCCTCCTTCTTTTTTGTGTTTGTTACTCTCTTGTAACACCTCTAATCTTCTGGCGCTCATATGACCTTATGCAGTTGCGAGTGCCGTAAAACCTGTACTAAAACTAAGCTAAAAAAAAAACAAGAAACAACAGAGAGGAAGAAAAGAAGTAGGACCTACCAACTACCAGAGTGGCAACCACCACCCGCACGTCATAAGATGACTTGATTTGAACAATGGGAGAAAACAACCCGCTTTGAAACATATATTATGCTGATGAGAGGAAGAACACATTAAATGGCCGCCAAAGTTTGGTAACTAGTCACGACACAGTACAGCAGGACTGTCCGCGAGTCACAACTCACTGGAAGTACTGGAAGTTCCCTCCGCGGTAGCAAGCGGGGGGGGGGGGGGGGGGCAAATCAAATCACAAGCCTGCTCGCAAGCCGTCCGCTGCTTTGCAAGCCTTCGAGCAGAATCCAGCCCTAGAACTTCAGCACATACATGTAGCTTAAGCAGTCCTTGAAAACTGCTTTTAAATAACCCCCCAAAAATGATTAAAATTGCGAAACTGGTGGGAAAATGCCTGTTTCTCCAAGCTTATTATTTTGACGAGCGCCTGATTACTCCACGATACCTCACACTCACAATTGCTTTACAAAACCTGAACATGAGACGGTATACGGTACATGTTGTGAAAGGAAAACAGTACTGTACTACTACTACATTTTGTCCCAGAAGAAATGCTGACTCATACAATGTGTGGAAATGAGGCTGGATACCATAATAAGAGAGGGACAAATTTTTCGATAGTTTCAATTATTGTTATACGGAGTGCCTGCTGGATCGGGTCGATTACCGAGTCGGGCGATCGGAGTGGCACCCCGTAGGCTATGTGCCCACTACAGCTTGATCGGGCCAATCATGTACTCTCCCGACTCGATCATGTTCTCGCCTGGTCCAATACGAGGTGCCCACGATATGCCTGAAACTAGTGAAACTGCGTTTGTTTGTGAGGCGACCCAGTCGGGCGATCGGCCCGATCCATCGATCCGATCCGGCTGTGATTGAGAGCGCTCACCGTCGCCAGTGTTGTCTATAATAATCGTCGATATACTAAGAATGCAATGACCACCACATGGAGATGGAGGAAAAAAAGAATCGCAAACAGGAACTACTTGTTCCCATAAATAACTCTTATAATACGGGGTGCCCACTACGGCTGGATCGGGCCGATCGCCTGAGAAACTGGAAACAAACACGTTTGTTTTTGAGGCGATCGAGTCAGGCGATCGGCCCGATCGGCCGATCCCGTTCGTACTGGGCACCCCGTATTACCTTTCATTAAGTATATCCACCTTTTATTCCCCTTTGATATACTGGGGTCTGCCCATCTACTTAATTTCGTACACATTTGTACTCAAGGATCGATCTACTAAACTGACAAGACTGTCCCCGTCGTTTTAAGCAAGAAAAATTCTGAGATTATGCAAACTGAGCCAAAAAATGTGAAATTATGCGATTTTGTTAATTTTAACAAAGAATGATAAAGGAAAAAAAAATTATGCAAAAAATGATCAAATGTTGCTAAATTATGCGGGGTGCATAAAACCACGGGGACAGGCTATTTCATTTCGCACACATTTGTACTCAAGGGTCGATCTACTAAACTGACAAGATCCCAACAGAAAAATAAACAACTTACGTACGTTTGAGTTTTAGACAAAGCGAGGGGGATAAGGCACATAGAGAGTTACGGTGCAGAGACAAAGAAAGAGATGGACACCGTAGACAGCCAGATAAAAAGTTAGTTTTTGAGAGAGAGAGAGAGAGAGAGAGAGA